TGTATCTATAAACTATTTGTCATCTATAAGGGGAGCCTTATTGTAAAGTGGTACCCAAAATACATCAATATACTTTATTGTTATAGTCAGTTACATAGCTTTTTTTTTTTTTTAGGTCGAGTAGAGAAAAAACATGAAATCATGAGAAAACTATTTTGCCATTCGTATTTTGTTGCAACACCTCAGGCTTTAATAACAGCTTGGGTTTTGGTTTTGTCATATTAGTTTTTGGAGTTTGTGATGGGGATAACTCAACTACTACCACACCAAATGTTAGTTCTGCATCTGTAAAAAATGGCAGCCATAGCCATGTCAGCGTCTGATAATGAGATAAGACAAGTGTAAAAAATGACTCCACCAAATTCTTGTCAGTTTTTATTTTTCACGTAAATTCAAGGTAACAAAAATGGTACACAGCTCAAATATCAAACAAAATTCCAATACAGCAAAAATAATAGGTGCTTCATCACCCTAAAAGAAAAACAGCATGAAATAAATAAATCTTCCTTTTTTTTTTTTTTTTGTTTAGCATACCTGAATGAAAGCAACCTCAATTTGAAGTCATCTCCTCAAAGAGAAATAAATCAGTTTTCCTTAGATAATGCTATGAAATGAGTTTTAATGAACAGTTTGACATACATTTTATATTTTCTCCGTCTCTGGTGAGGATCTTTGACTTTAGAGTCATTTGTTCTGACGAAATCTTGTTCACAAAAAACACAGATGTTATTGCTTCTCTTAAAATAAAAACCACACTGCATTTAATTTAAGCTTTTGTCAGGAACAATAAATAAAAAAAAAATAATCAGTTTGTGTATATATGTTGTGATTGCACCTGATCTGCTAGACCCTTTAAGAACAGAAACATGCTGCAGGTCTAGTGCGGTAACGCCACCGGTCTGATTACCGTATTCTTCGGACTATTAGGTGCATTAAGCGAAACAAATATTGACAGATTTTTGAGCGCCGTGTACCACATAAAAATCGGTTCAAGATCAATAAGCACAACTAGAATTAATACATAAGGCTCTCTGTTGGTTTTTGAGAAAATTAAAGGACTTTAAATGCGCCTTATAGTCCGATAAATACGGTACATCGGCTAAAAAAAGCTACGAGCATTAATGACGTTGTACAAATGAGAAAACTAGACTATTATAGTGACAAAAGCACTAAATTCTATAAAACACAGGCAATCACAGATTGCAAATATTTAAGTAATAATGTCCTGCCCTCCCATTAAATCAGTGTTATGTTTCCCAAACTCTCATACAGCTGGGAAATGTGTGACAGTAAAATGTTTAATTGTCTTGATGGGAATCAAAGGGCTTCTTTACACAACATTCAGCTCCTAAAAGTAAAAAAAAAAACATAAACTGGATATACCTGTGGTACATTCTTTTCACCACTAAGTGGCTCGTCTTAAATCTTCACACCTGCCTTTTCCCTCCCATCCAGAGTAACGCTTCTGTGCGTCCCAACTTTTATTGTATTTAACACAGCGGTTTTCAAAGTTGTGACTGAATCGGATACTTTTCATAGATAAATACATCTTTTAGCCTTGAGGAAGTAGCTTGCATGATGTGCACCCAATACCTTGCATCCCGTCTCAAAGCCTCGTTGCACAAGCGATTAAGCTCTTTAATCACTCGTTACAAAATACTCGCTGCAGAATGGCGGTGAACTCATTGGCACTTCTTACACATATTTCTTCCTCATTTCACTTAACATCTGCAAGACATTTTGGGAAATGATTTGCTTTCATCCAAAGAGCAGAAACTGCTAAGCTAGGACAAACAACTTGTTAACTTCTGCTTTTCAAACTAAACGAGCAACAAAGCTAATTGTATCATCTGCAGAAAATCGCAGTTAAAAAACTGCCTTTCCACATTAGGAAATTTAGGAAGGGCCCAGCTGCAGACTTCCCTCCTCGGGGGCCAACTTCTGCGAGCGTATAAGGTCTGATGCAAAAAATGAGTAACGCTGCATCAGTATTTACTCATTAGGATCTACAAGGACCAGCGGAAAACTTTGTTTCAACTGTATTAAGGAAAGGAAACTAAAGCACATCTGCTGTTATATTGCTCTTAAAGCAACTTGACTCTTGGGGAAACATATAGCTTAAATTAACCTTTAAAGATGTTATCTTTTAAATAAGTTGTCTGTTGTCCTCAGTCAAATCAACAGAAATCTTTTTTTTAAGCATAAAATGCATTTTTTATGAGATCTTTGGGCATTTTAAAGCACTTTTGCCATGACTACTACTCCCAGTTACAATTTACCCCCTTTAAAAAATAATGAAGTTGATCAAGCTGTAGAGCTGATACAATTAACTTGCCCATTCTTAGCAAGTCTTTCCATATCAGTGAAAATACAAATAATCCTGGAGTTAACCATTGCAGGCATCTTAACCAAAAAAAAAAAAAAAAAAGTGACTTAGATCTTAAGAAAGCAAAGGATTTCCCAAACCGTTTCCTCAAAAATAAAAAGCATCATTCATTCTCACCCAGACTAATGCATTGAGGTCAGCGAAACCTTACAAAATAAATACTTGATTTGGTTCAACATCCGTCGCCTCTGGTATGCCACTGAATACATTTCTGTAAGAGAGTGATGATGTGCTGGCATTCACTCAAACAATATTTCCCTTTTATGATTGTTGTTCTATTCAAACTAAACAAGAAAAACTTGGACATCTCCGTCTTATCGTGTCTTTTCCAGCTAAGATACTCCCCACCTCAGGCGCACCGACACACGTAAAACAAATCCAGTCCATTGTTCACTTCAAATAAGAAAAGGCAGACTTTCCATCTTGTGTGAAAAGTCTTAATGCTAAAGGAGAACAAATGGGAATGAGAAGCTGTTTGGCCACAAGGAGGTTCAGAGGACATGGCACATTAGATGATGGCATCAAAACAAGTCTTTCCCCCCTTCTGGTTATTCTCATTCCTCACAGAACAGATCAGTTTTTATTTTGACAGTTTTTCACCTTCATGTCCGTCTTATTCCAGGGGTTCAGTCCATGTGGGGCTTCTCACTGCCACCCTGAGGAAGGACAAACAAGGAATGTGTCAGTCAATTAGAAATATAAAATGTTCAAGAGTTGCACTTAAAAAAGTAGAAATTCAAATTCTTATGTTGACATTTTTTCCAGTTATGATTATTCAGCTGCCTTTAGAGCAACCACGACTGCCATGCTGAATAAATCATTTAATGTCAGTTTCTAAATGTTAAAAGGGAGTCGGTAAATGCAGCTTATGTCATGAATGTACTGTATTTTTGGGACTATAAGGCGCACTTAAAATCCTTTCATTTTCTCAAAAATCAACAGTGAGCCTTATAATCTGGTGCGCCTTATAGTCCCAAAAATACGGTAGTATTCTCTCTAATAAGTGCAGGAGCTGCACAAAATCAACGAGATGTGGACATTTTTGCTCAACTTTTTGACCCCAACTGACTTGTACTGAATAAAATATTTTAAAATAACAGAAACAAATGCCTATTTTCTACCAGATACTTTAAAAAAAAAAAAAGATCAAAAGGAAAGAAAACGAGAACCACAAGTTGAATCTTGTGCCAACATTCCACGGGCCTCATCACAAACACCAACAACAAATGACCCTCTGGTCTTCAGAGTCCTGACTGGCTCCAAATCTCACAGGGTCTGAGAAAAACAACAGCTCTTAATCTGCTTTCACGCTTTCACTGAGTCAAACCGAGGGGAGAGACGGGACTCTTATTTTACAAAGTGAATGAGGTGAGGCTTCCAGACAGCACCTAATGGAGACATCAAAGCCCTCTTGATGAGATAATTATGAAAGAAAAGGGGGTGTCCCATGCTCTGTGCACCAATTTTTACCATGCCACAACCTGATTTACTGCTGTAGCTCAGATAAACAAGGTCTAATAAAGAAAAGGCGGTGAGAGTTTAGGTCTTTTTTTTTTTTTTTAAAGAGTGCAGACACTGATAGAAATAAATGTGAAGAGAAACATAAAAACTTTCAAAATAATCCATACATTCTGTGTTTTTAGGATTTCTAACACCGTAGACAAGAAAAGGCAGCTGTTAAAAGGCTGATGTCACTATAAAATCTCTTACTGATCAGTATGAATGAAGTTAGATAAGAAATGCCCGCTGCATATGGGTTTTACCCCAAAATGGCATTATTTTATAAAATGAGTTAACATTAGTGGTGGTTTAAGGCATTATTTTAGTAGGGATGCACATTACCGGCATGGTATCGGCTGATATTAGCGTTAAAGTTAAATATCGGACATCGGCCATTCCATCAAAATAACTCACCGATATAAAAGACGACGTTTTTGCATGACAACCCAGTGACAAGGATGCCTGCAGCGGCAGCACAACATGATGACGCCACGCGCGCCTACCTGATCTGATCACAGCAGAGAGGAAAATTCAAAATGTCGGCGGTGTGGAAGGTTTTTTTTTCCGTTGAGGATGTCAGGTTCCAAAGATTTTTGGACTACGTTGAGCCTTGCTACATCGTCCCCAGTCGGAGATAATTTTCCGACGTAGCCTTACCCGAGTTACAAGCCGTCATTTCCGACGCCATTGAGAAGCTAATAGCCGATAGCACTTGGGTGAGTTTTACCACAGACGTTTGGACGTCGTGTTAGCCCCGTTAGCATGATTAGTGTTACGGCACAATGAATAGACAAAACTTTGAACGTAAAAAGTCTGTCCTTCATGCACAAGAGTGCAGAGGAGCCCACACTGTAGCTAGGAACCTGGAACAAGCCTCCAAAAGTGAGACAGCATCGCAGGTTACTAATGTTAATGAATAATATTTAACACTTTTCATTTAATATAAGTTAAAGTGCTACGCATATGGCTGTTACTGAATATATGTCACCAGCTCTTACATGTTTTTTTCTAGAAAATAAGAGGGCTATGTTCTGACAAAGGAAAATATATAAAAAAATATCGATATCAGCCAAATAAGTTTTAACATATCGGCATATTGGACATCGGCCAAAAATCCAATATTGTGCATCCCTAAATTTTAGCCCTTCAGTTAGAAAACTACCATCTTACCATGGCAAGTTGACGCCCAATGTTACCCACAGTAACGCCGCCTGAGAAGAATATACACGGGAGCCAGGAGCGCACATACAAGAAGTCTGGAGACGTGTACCTGAAAAACAAAAACAGATCAAGAGAACAGCTTAAAACGCTAGGATTAATAGATTAAAGTCCAAATTTAACTTGCATAAAAACTTTCCAGTCTTCTAGTTTGCCACATTTCATAGTCTGAGATGAAACTGCAGAAAAATGCAACAGTTTAAAAAGTTGGTAACAATAATCCACTCCTCATTATTCGTTTCTGGAAAGTGAGCGTCTCATCTCAAACTTTTTAATGATTCTGTTTGAGAGTGTAATTATCAGGCCCATAGAAACATGGAGAAAAAAATGGACTTGGTGCGTGCTTCTTTTAAGACAGGTAATTCTAGAGATACCTGCCATCTTTCGTCACCCACCCAAACCAACATGTGCAAATGCATTTAAGCAAAAAGAAAAAAAACCTGCTGACTTACTGGTAAACTCCATTGTAGACCAGTAGCTGTGTGATGACAGTAGCCAAGAAGGCAGTGGTGATGCCCAATCCAAAGCCACTTCTGGAGCGGTCAAATGTCCACCAGAGACCCAAAGATAAGGCCGCCAGCGTCAGGGAGAGCTGCACATTGTTGGCAAAGTCTAGTTTCTGTGCTGTAAGTTAAGGTCAAAGTCAAACAGGATGATGCTGTGTTCTTATACTAATATTTGTTTGACTGGCTGGCTCACAGTTCTGCCAATATGTCATCAGGTAAAACAGGTTGCTGAATTACTTCACTCCTGACCTGAAGTAGAATACTAGTGAGATTTCATATTTTTTTTAAGCAACACACACTAGCATTAATATGTAGCAGCTCAGAGATGTTTTTTTTTTATTGGATTGTGTTTGGGAACCTGTTTTGAAAGGATACAGCACTTGCATGGTTGATGCCAACAAACACAGCGATGCATCTCATGACGCTGGCCCACTCCCTCTTGAACTTGTGTGGCTCTCCCAAATGGCTGTCAAGGCAGGGATACAGCAAACCAACAACAGCTGTAGGGGGAAAGAAAAAAAAAGCAACAAATAGACCCAGATTACACAAGATAAGCAAAAATTCTGTGAAGCACAGAAAGCAAATCCTGTCAGATTATTTGCTGAGCATGTGGTTCTGTACTTGGTGACTCATTTGTACACAAAGCTATGCTTGAACAGTGTTGGAAGGGGAAAAAAAAGCAAGAGAAATAGAAATGATAATTTGTCAGTTTTTTATTTTTAAGTTGTTAACTTTAACGCGTGTCTATCATATGGTAATTTGTTAAATCCCAATCAATGAACATTGTTAAGAACGCAGCTATCAGTTTGCTCTTTATAATCATAAATTACAGCAGTAAGCAGGACTACTAAGCGGAACAATTTTGGTTTATAAAACTGAACAGTTTGGACAAAATTAATTTGTAACTGCTGACTTCCAAAAACAAATACTAAACATTTCTGCCCATCAGTCTTTTAACTTTATAAACTGATTAAATTGCCTGTGTCAAACAAAGGAAGTTATTTAGAGACAAGCATTTCTTTTATTTTTGGCACAATTGAACAGATGACCTTCAAACCAAAAGCTATAATTACTTTAGAGCTATAGGGATTTAAAAGTGCAGAATAAAACTAGATACTTTGGCCAGGTTTCTCACAAGTAAAACACCTGATTGCACACGCAAAACCCTAAAAACGGACACCAAAACTTTAGCAATCAACTTTAATATTGTCGATTTATTTAAAATAAAGCAATAAAGCTTTCTCCCTTTGTTTTCTGCCCTGCAGCACATGGGGGGAGGAGCAAAACTCGGATGTTTTATTCCCTCCTCCCTTCGCTTCCTGGTTCTTGGCAATAAAAGGGGAGGTCCTTAGCTCACCCGTTATGACACTAGCCAATGAACGCCCAGCACACGTAGCGTCTGGCCAATCAGAAGCAGAGAATCTATGCCATCTGAACCTAGGCAGGTTTTTTGACAACCGACTGCCACACATTACCATAAAGAGGGTGCTCTGTTTAGAGAAAAGATAACATTGGAAAAATAATAAAGCCGAATGACAATGCGCTTCCATACAACACTAAAAAGTATATCAATTTAAGAGTTTCTTGAAGCATGCTTTTATCTTACCGCATTTAGTTTAAAATGTCTTTAATCACTGCTTAGTTTAGCATCAAATGAGAATATTGTTAAAAAAGGGAGATATCCCCGAGTTTTATGGCCAACAAATGAATGACAAATTATGCGTTTAGCCTCATTAACACTGTTAAATAAAAACAACTACTCTTTGACTTATACATTTCGTGCATTGTTGTGTGAAATTAACAGAAAGCGAACTATAAACAGAATAAAATGCCCTCCATTGATGAAGGTTGTGGTCCAGACTCACCTGCTCCTGTACCGCAGCATGGTGGGATCCACCAGGCAGATGAAAACAGAGTTGTCATCACCTCATCTGGAAACAGGGTGACATGTCTTTGTATCTGCAGCAAGTTGAGCACCAGGGCGAGGAAGACTCCGACCGTGAAGAGGACGAGACCCCGCCGGATCAGGTTGGTGACCCGGCCGTAGTGTAAGGAGCCGCAGGCGCTCCTGAGCACCGTGGTGATGATGGACATCATCTCTTCAGCTTTTGCAAACCAGTTCGCTCCTGATGGATGCTCAGTTTCAGCTTTCGATGAACAGGAGCAGCTCCAGCAGCGCTCCTCCAGTCTGGGCATTTGGCACTTATAAGTTAAAATAATGGATAATTGTGCGTCAAAAAATGGTGCTCTAAAATCTGACTTACTTTATATAAATGGAAAAGACGCGCGATCTTACCTTGATCACCAGACGACTTGAGTGTCTGATGCAAACAGAACGCTCCCCCCTCCTTTTCACCCACGTCTCCTCCGACAGTGTGGGCTAAAACTACAGCCAAGGAGCCCCTCTTTGTTTCAGCTATCACGTCGTTCGTTCACATCATCGTTAGTAAACAAACTGTGTTGCTTCTTTCCACAATGAAGAGCTCCAACGCCAAAGAACAAGGACTTCCTCTGCAGAAAACAATCTCAGCTGTGTCGGGTGAGAAGCGGCAGCCAATCAGAGCGCGGCGGCTGATATGACGTGAGACCGATGCCCCGCCCCCTCGTCCGGTGCAGACGTAGCGATCTGGAGAGAGTGCTGGGCTGAAGAAGCGAAAGTAGAAGCAGACGTACTTTAAATAGCGGGAAGCGTGTCATTTAAGGCAGGCCGTTGTGGCACAAATTCAAACTTTTACTCGTCAAAGAAGTCCAGAAAAAGAAATTGTATTAAATTTAATTTATTTAAAGATACTCATTGCAAGCTATAAACTAAAACACAGCATGTTGCACAGAGCTATATTAAATGGTGCAGTTTTATACAAGCAAACTGGTAGGTTTATGCTTTTATGTTTGTTTAACTGCTTGGGATATTTTTTAACTTTAATCTTAATGTATCTCCAGTTTATAATATAATTACAAGTTGCCTGGATGCCAGGCGAGGATTGATTCAGAGAATCTTGGCCTTTCTTGTCCTTCATTTTACATTATCTGGTAGAGTTGTACTCCTGATATTTGTATTGGCTTGACAGACCTGTATGCTTTATTAATCAAACCTAAACCTAAATAATATCAAAATCACCGGACTCTTTAATTACTTATTTTTAGTCACTTTGGCTGTTATTTTGTGTCATCATGACATTGACATTAGTATAAGATATATAAATATCTTGTCGTTTCTAATCACAAGTCAAGTTTCTTTTCGCCTGTTTTGGGTTAAAATCACATCCAATCCACTATTTGTAGTTTTATTATTATTCTAATATTAAAGACAACTCCTTTACTAATTGAGAATAAAATGAAAGTTTGTTTACCAGGCAGAATCTGATTCCTTCAGATTAGGGGATAGCTTCCTTTCCACTTTCAGCCTTCTCAAGCGAAACACCTCTAAACCGATTCAGAGGTACTCTTATATGTATCAGGCATGTATTGGGAAATAGGGTTAGTAGCACAACTTTGTTTTGAGATACCGGTAAAAGGCCATTGTACTCTGGGTCATTCTCCTGAAGGTGTGACACGAAAGCGGGGGCTTGTGGAGGCATGTGGTGTTCCTGCACGTCAGTCAAATATTATGAAAATGGAATAAAGGTCAGTGTCCTTCTTTCAAAGCTCAATAACAACATGGGATAAGTGTTAGTCTAAATAACCTGGCTCTAACAGAGCACACCCTGCACATGTAAAAATATGTGTTGCCTTGATTTTTGCCTATACATATGCAACATAAAATACAACTTCTCTAAATAGAAACAACTCTAATAACTGGATAACAGGAAAAAATAATAATTTCATTAAAAAATGCATCTATTATTTTAAAACTAAGTCATATCAGCTTCTGGCTATTTATGAACAGCTGGGACATGGGTGGATCTATTTTTATGCAAATTGACTATCAAGTCGTTTTGCATGACCTACAGCAAATTTAGAAAACACAAACAGAGAGCGTATCAATCAGATAGCTCTTTTCTTTTCAATTAATTGTAATTGAAATATGTTTCAGTGTCTAATTAATTGAGCAGCTGATGTCCCATTGTGCTGTACTTATTGCTTCATGGTGATTATGTTCTGCTAAGATGCAGAACTCAATTTTAGTTCTGCATCAAACAAGGGTGGAAGGTGGGAACTGGTTTTTCGCTGTCACCCAATGTTCTGTCAGCATGTCGAAGAGTAGCATCCTATGATTGTTGGTGAAGATACCTGATAAGTCATCATAATGCATAGTGCACATGCAGAAACACAGGTCAGGCAACTTAACACATGTAATGTGGTTTGGTAGGAACTACGAGTTTTTTGTGTTAAATGTATTATATTCTCATGAAGATCTCTGGAACTATAAGAAATAGACTTTCTAATTTTTTACAATAGCTTTAAATCATCTAAACCTGATTTCTGCATTTAATGTACCGGCAATAATAGCTATGCTTTTAATCTTCCTAATGCTAACTTGTAATGACGTTCATCATAACAGCAGCAGCTACCCAATTTTTAAAAAATCAGACATTTAAGATAAACAGTGTTTGAGATAATACTCTAAAGATGTCTTTCCAGATTGTAAATGTGTGCCAATATATGCGTTTTAGGCTGTTCAGATGACATTAACTGGTGTTGCTTGCCAAAGTTTTGTTTGTCCAGTCTAACAACCATGTGATATATGCACATTATGGAAGAACTCAGAGTTCTAAACACAAAGTAAATGTTCCTAAATTTGTTCCTTCACCAGTTCAGTGTGTCGCAGTAATAGTATTTGATTCCAAATAATAACCAGTACGAAAGCAGCATAATTTAATGCAGGTGTAAACAAATAATCAAGGCAAGAATCAACTGCAGAGGCACAAATAAAATGCTCCTACAAAGTAAAACAGGCAGTAACTGATCAGAAAAAACAAGGAAACCATGAGAAAAACTAAACAAAAGATAATAGCGACAAAATCAAGCAAAGATTTTATAATAAATTATGTATTGGATTAAAAAAACAACAAAAAAAAAAAAACACATGGGCCAAATGTGATGATTAAGAAAGATTTGTTAGCTAAATGGTTGCACGATACATTTTTTATGGTCCGGTGCAAACATAGAGATCTGGAAATTGCAGGATTGAAGCTAAAGTAGAAGCTGAAATATTTTAAACAGCAGGAAGCATGCACCACTTGTGGCAGGATGTTAAACACTCAATTATCATGAAATACTAACGTCCAGAAACAGAAATAGTATTAAAGTAAACTTATTTAAAGGTACTTATTGCGAAATGTTGCACTGAGCTACATTAAGTGGTGCTGTTTGATAACTTTTTTTGATATACTGATAGGCAAATCTGAAATGTAGGTTTGCACTCACAAACTTTAAGGTGAATCTGGTGCTAAACACAAAAGAAAAGAGAATGAATGAGTAAAACAACAATCAAGCAGTTTTATGTTTTTTTTTTTTTTTTTTTACTCTGGTCTTAATGCTTGGGACATTTGTAACTTTAATCTTAATATATCTCCAGTTCATAATATGCCTATAAGTTGTCTGAATGCCAAACAAGGGTTTATTCAGAGAATCTTGTCATTTCTTGTCCTTCACTTTACATTATCTGGTAGACTCCTGACATCGAATTTAGCTTGACAGATGGTGTACTTCAATCATCGAATCTAAACTTAAATACCTACTAATACATCATAGTAAACAGACCCCTCAACTCTTTATCTTTAGTCACTCTGGCTGCTATTTTGTGTCTTCATGATATTGAAATTAATATCTATAAGATATTTAAAAATCTTGTTGATTCGAGTCAAGTTTATTTTCACCTGTTTTGGGTTAAAGTCACATCCATTCAAGTTCCACTGTTTGTAGTTGTATTATTGTTAATAATAATAATAATCTAACATTAAAGACAACTCCTTTACTAATTGAGAATAAAATGAAAGAAAGTTTATTTTACCAGGCAGAATTTGATTTCTTCAGGTTAGAGGATGTAAAACTTCCTTTCCACTTTCAGTCTTCTCAACCGAAACACCTCTAAACCCACTCTTATATGCAACAGGCATGTATTGGGAAATAGGATTAGTAGCACAACTTTGTTTTGAGATGCTGGTAAAAGGCCATTGAACTCTGGGTCATTCTCCTGAAGGTGTGGCACGAAAGGGGGGCATGTGGTGTTTCTGCACGTCAGTCAAGTCAAATATTATGAAAATGGAATAAAGGTCAGTGTTTTTCTTTCAAGGCCTAATAACAGCATGGGATACACACTATTCATAATTTGTTTCTTAGTCAAACTCGCGTGAGGTAGTTTTGAAAGTACAAAGTAGTATGTTAGTTTGAAGCCTTTAATAAATTTCATAAAAGATAGATTTCATTTAAAGATAGTGGAAACTATCTTTAAACACCCAGCATTTATTCATATAAACCAAATGTATTGCTGCAACACATGATCCCATTTATCGTGAAACACACCAGCCCATGTCTAAATGCACGGCTTTAATACCAAAGTCCAGGCTCAATAATCCAGTTAAAAATCCAACAATGTTCAGTCAGGTCATCTGGACGGTTTCTTTTATTGACGAGACGTTTCATCCTTCATCCAAGGGACTTATTCAATCTGAGGAACCACCAAACAAAACTGAGTCCCACAAACAGCACACTCTCATGGGTTTAATAACGTGTTGCTGCAATCCTTGGTTTCTGAGCTGGCTTTTATTTTCTTAGTTTTATATTCAATTTGGTTTAGCTTTTCAGACGGATTCACGTTTTTTTTTAAGTTAATTTATTTATACTCAATTAGTTCATTGTTGGGTGACGGTGGTGCAGTTGAGAGCAGCCGCCTATCAGCAAGAAGGTCACTGAATCGAATCTTGGCCGAGGGTCATTCTGGGTGGAGTTTGCATGTTCTCTCCGTGCATGCGTGGGTTTTCTCTGGGTTTCCTTCCACAGACCAAAAACATGCATGTTAGACTGATTGGTAACTCTAAAATTGTCCCTAGATGTGAGTGAGAGAGTGAATGGTTGTTTGTCTCGTTTGTCTCTATGTGTCCCTGTGCTGGACTGGAGACCTGTCCAGGATCAGAGAGTCAGTCAGAGTTTCTTTATTGTTGTTTGCACCACATGTGGTACATGTGAAGGAACAAAATTATGTACACAGGGTCCCAGTTACATCCAACAATAAAATGTAAAAGAAACACAGTAATAAGATCTAAGATATGAACTAAGAAAAACATAAACTAAAAATATGCTAAGCACTAATAGCATAAAATATGTACCCCGCCTCTCGCACTGTGACTGCTGTATATGGTCACCAGTGACCCCTGTGACCCGAAAAGGAAGAAGTGG